TTGTACATTTCTGTGCTGAGGACAATCGAGTTGCTCCTGGGGTTGAGAGGTTCCTAATGAGGAAAGTATGGATGCAAATTCTAGTTGTGAACTTAGCATGCCCCATATTTGAAGAGAAAACTCCTTCTACCTGCTGACCTCAAACCAAGTCCTGAATTTCTTGATAATTCCCTGTCAGAGTGTCTCCATTAAGTTAGCAAAATTGAAAATTTGAAAATACTTTATGACTATCAATTCCTTTATTTCATAGATAAACTGGGAAAACAAGGAATGGTTGCTAGTTCACTTTATGTGGTGACTTCCTTTCATGAGCAAGTGGTCTAAGAATCCAAAGAAGGTGCTAGAGAGGCTCACAAAGGAGACTTGAAAGTCAAGGGGCCCAAAGTACCATGTGGCTTTATATAATCCTGTTTTCAGTTAATTTTACTAATTTTAAATTTAAGCTGTAAAATCGTTATTCTATACAGTACAAAAATAGTCTGGGAACTGAAGGAAAATTTCATTCTCTTTTTTTTAAATTCTTTTAAAATTTATTTTATTTATTATTTTTATGTGTATGTGTGTATTGCCTGCCTGTAGGTAAGTGCACCTGTGTCATGCAATGCCTGTGGAGAACAGAAAAGGCTATTGGATCACCTGGAACTGGAGTTACGGACAGTTGTTAGCTGCCATGTGGGTGCTGGGGTTCAAACCCAGGTCTTCTGCAAGAACCGCCAGTGTTCCTAACTGCTGAGCCATCTCTCCGGCCCCATTCTTTAATAAATTTGCCTATCATTTTTCTTGCCAAATTCTAATCTTCTCCTTTTCCTTTCAGTCATAGATTTGCAAACATCTTCTATGAAGCTAGCAAAGACAGGGTATGGTAGGATTGTAAAATACTTCAAGGTCTTGTATTTTTAAAGTATGAAATGATGAATTTTAATTCAATTATCACTTACAAGTTATCCTTACATTTCATGTATCCAGAATCAACTGCAGGCTGTCGATTGTAGGGCTGGAAGTGTTTGTTGTCTGCCAGATCAAATACTCAATATGTCTAAGAAAATGAGATGAACTACAGAGTAAAGTTTCTATCAGACCTTAGGAGGAAAGTATTGTTAACATTTGCTACAGGGTTTGTGGTGTCAGCCTAGGTTGTCTAGAAATGGTTTTCAACTAGGGATGCTCATTCACTACGAAACTAGACAGAGCCAATTTTCATGTAGGAAATTGTTGCTATCCTTCATGCAATCTGAATTCAGTTCATAGCTTCCTAGTGGGCTTGAAATTCTGAGTCAACCCACTTATTATTTTAGTAAAGAAACTGTTAATCACATAAGGAGAAGAAACACATAATGTATGCAATCACCTACAAATTCTTACTAACCCCAAACCAAACAACTTGACTTCTGTGGAGAAAAAGACATACTCTAAAATATTGGCAGCTTACAAAAAATGTCATTTGGGTCTTATGGAAATCAGCTAACCAAAATCATTCAAGGAGTAAAAATAAAACCTGAATTACATATTTGAATGCTAGAGGGATTTTCAGGTAATAGTTTGTAAAATGAACAGTGACTTTATGGTGACATGTAAATTTCAAGAACCCAAATCTTTCCTTCAGAGAGTAACAACTCTCTGGAACTCCAAAGGAATACATATTTAATAAAACTATAAGGCTCTTCGCTATAAATGAATTCTACTGTCATGTTCAATGTTATCACTGTTTTTGTTTTCTTACTTCAAAAGATGGCTTGAAATCCTCTTGTGTAATTAGATGAGATTTAAATTGTAAATGCATTATTGGAGAAAGAATTAATATTTGGGATCTCTTGTCTGTACTAGGCACTTCATCATTTAATCCTCTTAACACCCCCAAAACTAACCACAATTGTAAAGTCTCAAACTGAGGCTTGACAAAGTCAAGAGACTTTCAAGTTTGCTCAGATTCTATAGGTGATGGAAGGCAAACTCTCACCTGCATCCATTTGTGTCCTTAGCATGCAATCTTTATGCTAAACAACTTTGCTTTCATTTTCAAATTATATTAAAATATACTATTGTTAGGCAAGTCAATGTGTATAATATATAGTATAATGTCTAATATATTTATTTACATAGCAAAAGAGTCTTTGGTTTCAATAGGATTCTCTGACAGTATTTAAGCTTAGAAAGAGATTTTTTATAAGTTTGAACTAAAGTTCTACATTGTATTTGAGCACAATCTGCCTGAATAATTTTGATGCCTTCTAGCAAGTGCATAATTCCCCTGTCACAGCTACCTCCCTGTCATCCTGAAGGCAAGCTACCACCTGTCTTCACTGTTCAATTTCCTTTCTGGTCTTAAACTCCTCGTTGTACTCACTACGTCACAATCATCCAATCAGGCACTTTATTATTTTAAATTTGTGTATGTATATATGCAGATACATGTTTGTCTGAATGTGGGCATGCAAGGGAGTGCATGTGGAGGCCAGAGGACAATCGAGTGACAGTCCTCACCATCTACCTTGTTTGAGACAGGGTTTCATGTTTGTCATGATGTCAGCCAGGCTACCTGGCCCTATAACTTGCAGAAATTCTGCTGTCTCATCTTCTCATCTCATCTTTGGAGTTCTGGGATTACAGATATGCACATTATGTGGGTTCTAGGGATTAAAATAATGTTCTCATGCTTGTACACACAAATTTTACCCACTGAGCAATCTCACCAATCCTAGTCAGCCATTTTGGAAAGCCTCCTAAAGTTCATTATGGCTGTGGAGAATCTCAGACATGAACTGGATATTCTATGCATGCAGCAGAAGCACAAATGTGTTTACTGTATTTGTGTGTGCGTTAGGGAGTCTAGGGCTTTCTTCCCACCTACTACCTAAAGTAATTCCCTCTTTCCAACTCTTCTTTACTTCCAAAACTCCATTCAGGTACTTAAATTAATTTTCTACAGGAATCTCTGCAACCTCTACTTTTTACATATCATTTTCCATTATCACACTCTCATACAATGTGAATCTTTGTAGCCAGTATATCTGGAATTTCTTAAAGGCAAGGGCTGATGATTAATGGTAAAATGATCCTTCAGTGATGATGTACTAGTGCTCAGTAAATTTGTTCTAATAATAAAATAATAACTTTATGTTCACCCTAGGTGATAAAGAATATTTTATAATCATGTCTCTTTCCTCAAGGTATCTCATACATTTTATAAAAAATAGCTAAAGGCCATATCAAATTATAAAGGAATATGTATGTGTATATATGGATCTATGTTTATTCATAGAAGTATATGGCAGGGTAGACAAAAGCTCAGATTCAACAGGCACCTTTCTCTGAAGTAAAGTTTGCTGAAAATTTTACCAGTTAGAGACAATTGGCTTCTATTTATGGTCCCTTGTACTTCGATATTTTATTTAATTTTCCCCTTGGATCTATACTCTCTTTTAGGTTTTAAAAGCCACAAAATAATATGCTACCATAGAAATACTTGTTAAGGGCTCTCAAGGAAGGCTTAGATGCAGATCTTTCCCAGTATCCATTCCTTTAACCCACAAAGAAGCTTAGGGAGAAAGCTTTCTATTCCTATCAGGAGTAGTGAAACCAAACCCTCTGTAAGCCTCAGTCCCTGTCATTACAGCTCTGCACTGAGATTCAGGTCAATATCTTAGGAGCTGAATGTCATGGCCTCTTGTTAGACTCACTTTCCATAACTATAACAAGACTCATAGCTACCCCTTCAGCCTCTTGGACAATTAAAAGTGTCAGTCCATGAAAACTTTGCACATATTTAGCACATACGAATGCTGCGGGGAAAACCAAAAGTCATGCACTTTCTTGGTGAGCTCAAACACTACTTTTCCAGACTCTCTGAGACAGGAACTTCTATGTTTTCTACCAAATCTTTGCTTCTATGTGGAAAAATTAAAATATGGACTTATATTTCCTAGGTACACATCCTGTATGCTCTGCAACAGTCTGCTTTGCTTTCTTTCATGCTTGAACACTTCCATGAATCAGTCTGTACAGGGGTGACAAATAGAAGAAAATTCCATAACAAATGAAGGCCAAGCTCTACTTGACATGAAGCCATAAGCTTGGAATCTTGTGTGTGCAACTCTGATTGCTCTGGTTACTAAGCCATAATTTCCCACAGAGAACTAATTTTGAAGAATTCTAAAAATGGAAACCTTCCAGTAAGCAGGCATGTCTGCTGACATTTAACAATATCTAGTCATCACTATTTCCAAAGCACCCATGCCTGTGTCAATTCCTAGATCAAAATCACACAGCAAGCATTGATAGAATAAAAATTAATGATAAAACATCATGCAAGTATTTCATATGGGATCATGTGATGGTTAATGTTTACAGTTCATAGCCTGAGTAATACCAGTTAATTAATTTCCCGGGACAGGAAAGCACTTGGAAATGATTGTTGGGCTTTTTTTGTTGTTACAGTTGATAATGAGTCCTGAACCTTGAGAGAACCTTTCTATGCAACTGAGTATATTTTACCTTTGGCTCATTATTTACCCAACTCCAGGTCATTTATTTTGGCAGAAGAAAATGGACCTGTTTAATATCAAAAGGCCCATGAATTTTAATCTTCTTTTCTTGCCCTTCTATATCACTTGAGAATTTTTTTGTTAAGTGAAAATGATTTTTTTTTTGTAGATGGGGACCCTCTCTGCTCTTATGATTTTAGTTCCCATAATTTAAAGTGTGCATTCAAAATAAATTACTTTATTTGATCACATGTAGATTTGCCATTAATGAAATCCAATAACAATATTAGACATTGTATATATGTCTGTGAAAAAATTATTCAGATATAGCTCTGACAACAACAGAATCTGTATTGTCTTAAAGATCTCACCTAATAACAGTTTTCTTAGTGCATAATAGTTTTAATTTATAGCTCAGAATTATGAATTATTCATGCAGGGATCATATTTAGCTATTTTAGTTGTGGATATTAAATTTGTTAATACATTTTTTTATCTACTCCCACTCTGCCTGGACAGGACAAAGCCCAGCCGTACCTCCTCCCTCACCAGCAACACCTGCTTCCAGACCTGCTCTGTCAACACCCACTCTTGAAGGCAAGTATTTAGATTTGTGGTCTTTTTGAACATAAATACCTTCATCGCAGATTTTTTAAAGAAAGAATATAGAAGAATAAACCAAAAAGAAAACAAAAGTAACAAGGACACCAGTATTTTCTCACGTAATTTTAGTGTATCTAAGCTAGTGTTTCCTTTTCTTGAAACTTCATTTGCATGTTGTTGACTTTCCACATCTAGAGGAAGTCCAGTTTATGGCCCTGATACTCGAACCACAAAAGCAGAGGCACAAATGAGTGGTGGGAACGTGACTTGCTGGTCTGCAGCTTTGCCACCACTTAGTAAACCTGGTGTCTGACGATTCAGTGATGGTTTCTGGGACTGAATCTGAACTCCACATGTTATAGGATTTCTCAGTTTGGGAGGTTACCTCAAACTGACTGTTCATGAGTTCTGCCTTCTCTAAGATGTCATAAAAATAGCATTGACAGACTACAGTTATGATAAGGATGCAATTATGTTCAGTTTATAAGTGTTTATGAAATTATTAATTACTACTACAACTAATTCTTCAAAATAGGCTGTTTCAAAAAAAAAAAAAAAAAACCCAGTAAAATAAGGGGAGGAAAAGACATTAGAATTGTTTTTTCTGGAAATGTAGTCATTTATTCTAGTGTTATCCATTCATTCTTTTAAACTATTTTTTTATTAAATTCCAAGTACGGGATCATGTAAGATATTTTCTGAACTATTAGGGATTCAGAGATTCTGCAATGCTGATTGAGTTTAAAGGTATAAAAGCACAAGCAATTAAAGTTTTACAAGAGTACAGAGGGACGTCTCCTCATTTCTCCTTTCCACCTCTAGCTTGTCTCATGCTGAAAGGGACTGTTTGTATAGTGAAATCCCAGACTACTTGTATGTGTTCTGTCTATTCTAACAGTTGCCAGATGGTTCTGGCCACCATACACAGCATGACATGTTCTCACTAATAAGGTTTCATAGAAAGAAGTGATCCATTGGAGGGGGCAGGAACTCTCAAGAGCCCAGATCTGGAGTTCAGTTGAGAAGAGACTCCAGCTAATTCTACTCTGTCTGCCCCACAGACCACTAGTCTTGGTAAATGATGTCACCAGGTACTGACCCAGCAGACTGTAAAGCACAGATTTTTGAGTAGAAGGTTTGATTTCAGGGTTGGAAGAGATATGCTCATTTTTATAATATGATAAGGACTGAAAGATCTAAGTCATTGCAAATTTGAAAATCTAAACTATGAAAGTTTACAAGAGGGAGAACATAGATTAGTTTGGAAGAATCGAGGAAAACGTCTGGGACATATTAGCACAGGTGACAACAGAGCTAGTTTCCAAAACTGAAGCTTGTCAAGTATGTAATGAAGGCAGGGACATCAGATAGAAGGTCAGCAACTGCAAAGGCACAGTGTTGAAGAAGAAAGGAGCTCAATTAACAGAAGCACAAGGTCAGACTGAAGAGAGGAGAAAGGGGAACAGAGAGGCCTTTGGTAAATCAATAGAATCATATTCAGAGGCTAGATTGTCAAGCACTTTCTAGCCTAAGCTAAGTACTGATTTTTGGTTTTAAAGCTTTTTATGTGACTCTGATAAGGTCTTAACATATGCACTCTAAAGTTACATTTAACAGCATTTTCTATTCCTCCCTGTCTCCCTTCCTTCTCTCCTTTAAAAATTCTGTTTGTATTTTGATTTCATATGTAAACTTCAGACATCATACTGTTTTACTCAGTCTTAAGAACTTTATTTTCATTTAATAATTCTGATAAACACACACACATATATTCAGACTTAATATTTATTAAAGGATATAAGAAAAAAATCCTTTCCTTTCTGGTCCTATCTTTCAATTACCCTCTCTACCAGAAACCAATGCCAATTCCTTATATTACCATCTGGAGAGGTATGTTTGCAAATATAAGTGCAAATATTTTATTCTAAGCTAAGAGGACTTTGTCTATGGATGGTAAGTTTCCAATGGATAGGAGAAACATTTAAGATGTCTACCTAATAGCCATCCTGCTGGCTAAACTGTTGATATGAGATTGGATTTGTAGGCACTTGGGAAAAGAACAGTCTAATCAAGTTGTAAGACCTGAATAAACAGTAGTATTTGATAGAGAAAAAAACACTTGGATTGGAAGAATGACTTATAAAGAGAATTAACTGATATAAATATCTGACTTATGGTACTAAGAGAACAAAGAATAAAATGACTCTCTGTTTTCTGAGTTAGACATCTAGATGGACTCTGGTGCATCATGATGGAAACATAGAAATAAAACAGGTTATTGAGGAGGAAGCAGAAGGCGAGGGGTTAAGGTTCTCGCATGAGAGTTTCCCATGGGTCATACAAGTAGAATTACTAAACTGACTGTTTTAAATTAGCACATGATTCCAAACTCATATGGCTGTCCAGGCACAGTGGTGCCTGCTTGTTCATTTCTTGTTATGTAGAACGACGTTTGGAGCCCTGTTCCATGGAACACTACAGTGATTAATAGCTTGTGCAGTAGAATCACACAATCTGGGTTCACCCAGTTCTGTCATTTTTTTCCTGGATGACTTTTAGTTTAAATCTCCAAGTTCTTCATTTATAAAATACTAGCATTATTAGCATTACTAAGAAATGTGGTTTAAGGACAAAGATATGTTTGATATTTTATTATTATATTTGATATTGAACTTAGCAAATTTTTCTGACTGGACCTTATTGGATTATTAACACAACACAAATTCACAAACAATTTGTAAATTTGCAGCATCAGAATCAGTTATATCAATTTTAAATCTCATTTAAAATGGAAATTTCATCAAATCTTAGTTTAGTATACTAGATTTTTGGCAATTCAAGGAAAAAAGATCTAGTTTTTTATTGTTTTTTTTTTTTGATTGTTTGAGACGGTCTCACTATGCAACCGAGTCTAGCCTCAGAATTGTAATCCTCCTGCCTCAGCACTGTTGAGATTATAGGCATATAAATATATGTCTGACCAAAACAATCTTCATTTTCAATAAGCACCTGGTTATTTAAACATGAAATTTTGGGAGTCATTGGTCTATTCTGTGTATAAAAATTTACATAGCAAATCTATTGTTTTGTGTCAAGTATTGGAAATTGGTAGCCTTCTTGAAATAGGCTTGTCTATTTTTATATTTTATATTAAATCTGTATATTTTGGTAAGGGCTGTATTTTCCAGTTGACTAAGATTTCAATGATAGGTTGACTATGCATTCATGTTTCACCCATTCAATAGCTGGGAAAGATTGAATAATATAGCAGGTCAAAATTTCCCCAAATTCTATTCTGACAGCAGCACATACCATTTGCATACCCCATCATGACCACTCCATGACTGCAGCATGCTCACATCAATTCACATTTATTTAGAATATGTTTGCCTCACTTACATGCATTTTACAGTCAGCTGGTATTCTGAAACTCTTCAATATAGATATTAATATTATCAAACAAATGAAGACTTCAAATTTATTTGAGCTGATGAAGAAATGACAAGACTTGTATCTACCCTAGGTTCTGTGTATCTTTCTCAAGGTGCTTTCTATAATTTTACAAAGTAGACATGTGAGAGTGAGGACCCCACCTTCGATTTTTTTAACACGCTTCTAAATATGAAGATGTACTATTTTATGCTCTAAATTTCATGCAGTTTTCTGATGGAAACAGCTTGTTTTCATGATAGTCAAGACTTCCCCACTAATACATCTCAAAATTGAAGATTCACACAAATAATCTCAGAATCCCATGAAAAAGTGGATTCTAACTCAGTAAGTCTAGGTTGGTGCTTAAATTTTATTTTTATCAAATTCTCAAGTGCTACTACTGCTGTTATTTCAGGAGCACATTTGAGTAGCAAATCCTTCTGATTTAAACAACACTGTTTCTAAGACTGCTTTTAGTTTTAATATTAGTCATCTGAATAACATGAAAACATTGGCCAAAAGGTCCTTCAGTGACTAAATGTTGCTTATGCAGAAATTTTGACTTCTCTTTGTCTGTACAAACACCAAAGATTTTAAGTGAATTATTGATCTCTTTCACAAGTGAGCCAGAAAATTTTTAAGGAGAAGCAAGGAGGAAACATCACTTTTATATTACAAAAAACTTATTCTATAGTATATAAAATACATTGGTTTGGTTAGCTAATCAAATTGAATGAATTATGAGTTACAAGTTTTAAAAATAAATACTAGACAAGTTGCAAATCAATAGTGAATGTCAACCCAGAAATCAAAGAATTGTATTGTTTTATCATTAAAACCCATGTGTTAGTGTGAAGTTCATGAGCATCTTGTCTGGACTCCTCAGAGACGTTCCTGAGTGTTTAAGGAATTGTGTAAGATCTAGTCAAAGGTGTGGAACTCTTAACTCCTGCTCCTCTTCAGGTACAAATGTGTTTCATTTCGTTCACTCAGGACTTTGATTTGATTATTTTTCATGTTAATATCCTGGCTGGAAAAAGCTTCTGAGGTCTGTAGTGATTCCCATGTCTTCATGTCCCACTTCCTAACTTGCCTCTAGACATTGTTTCTTTGTGTATGAGAAATATGTGAATGCACTTTCCTTTTCATATATAATTTTCCTGATCAACCTTGTATGTTAGACTGCCAAGGTAGTCTTAACAAGGCACTAAACCTGGGTATCTTAAACAATAGAAATTGGTTTTCTTACAATTCTGAAGAAGTCCAAGATTCAACTCCCAGCTCAGTCAGGTTCTCATGAAGGTTATCTTCCAAGTTTCTTTCTAATTTCATGCCCATACTGTAGAGAAGAGGACATCTCGGATCACCCTCTTTTTATAATGGTGGCAGGCCTGTAGGAGCAAGAAGACACTTAATTACATCTTAGAAGGTTCCAACTTCATCAGTCACATTTGGGGGTCAGCACTTCAGCAATTGGCATGTAAGCTTGGCATGACAATACATTTGATCTATAAGACTTCATAACCTGAAAGCTTAATTAATACATAAGTAAAACAGTGAAT